AGCCACTATCAAGAAAATTGCCCATATCCTCAAGCAAGATTAATCCGTACAGAATTCTAATCATACTCCGTCTCACAATTCTTGGCCTCTTCTTCCATTATAGAATTCTTCATCCGGTAAATGATGCAACTGGCCTGTGGTTGACATCAGTTATTTGTGAGATATGGTTTGCTGCTTCATGGATTCTTGATCAGTTCCCGAAGTGGTGCCCTATAGTTCGAGAAACATACCTTGATCGGCTTTCACTCAGGTAGGGTTCTGCTGTTATAATGTTTTGGGGTCAACTTGAAATTGAGAAGATTTTTGGATCTATTTGTCTTGGACTTTTGGATACCCTTAATGGGTTCATTGGTTTCAGAGAAAGAATTGTTGTCGTGTATTCACAAGCTTTATCATTTCAGGTATGAAAAAGAAGGGAAACCTTCAGAGTTAGCTCCTATTGACATTTTTGTCAGCACAGTCGATCCCTTGAAAGAACCACCATTAATCACTGCAAACACTGTTCTATCCATTCTTGCTGTGGATTATCCAGTGGACAAAGTTACATGCTATGTGTCAGATGATGGTGCAGCAATGCTTACTTTTGAAGCCCTTTCTGAGACATCTAGCTTTGCAAGAAAATGGGTTCCTTTCTGCAAGAAGTATAATATTGAACCTCGTGCTCCAGAATGGTATTTTTCACTAAAGATGGACTATCTGAAAAATAAAGTTCATCCTGCATTTGTAAGGGAACGGCGTGCCATGAAGGTTTGAAGCATAGATTATCTCTGTTTCATTTGACATGCATCAAAACCTTTCGGGGCACTTAGATTTTGATTTGAATATTTTCTTGTTTTTATGGCCTCAGAGAGAATATGAAGAATTCAAAGTCAAGATAAATGCTCTTGTGGCAACTGCTCAAAGGGTTCCTGACGAAGGTTGGACTATGCAGGATGGCACAGTATGGCCCGGGAACAATGTCCGAGACCATCCTGGTATGATCCAGGTAAGAACAATTTATTGTGATGAATTCACCTCAAACGAGTTTCTGTTACCTTCAAAGTTTGTATCATAGTTCTTCATAGATTCTGCTGGCAAGTTATGCATTACCCATCTAATTTGATTGCCAATCGTATCATGGATCTCTTCTCATTCCAGTTTCCCCAGTTGTTAACCATCTCTACTCTATTTTCCCCGTATCTCCACCAACAGCATGGTATCTGCTCTCAGTGAGTTGAAAAGTGATTATGGAAAATTTATCTGTCTCGGCCATTGACCATCAAACTCTTTAGTCAGCAAGGATACTCTGGATGAAGCCCAGGGGCATAGACAGCTTCTGAGCTGTACTGTCCAGTTCATCCAGGACTACTTTTTTCGGACCTTGTGCAACAGAAGTATCTGGATCTTTCATTGTTTTCAACTTCATAAGAATGTGTAAAATAGACAAAAAAAGATAAATCTTTTGACTTTCTCGTCAATATAAATTCAGTGGAATGCTTTAAATGAGTGTCAAAGGTATTAGGTACTATCTTTCTTTTTATACCTCAGTTTTTCTGATTAACTCTTCTACAGGTATTAATGGGTAATGATGGTGTCCACGATGTTGAAGGAAATGATTTACCTTGCCTGGTTTATGTTTCCCGTGAAAAGAGGCCTGGGTTTGATCACCATAAAAAAGCAGGCGCCATGAATGCTCTGGTAAGTTAGATAAAATATTGGAACAACAAGAAAATTGTTATGCATGAACATGGAGTTCTGATTTTATCAATCTTGTCTTTCTTTCTGTATGCAGATGAGGGTTTCAGCTGTTATATCAAATGCTCCTTTCTTGTTAAATGTTGATTGTGATCATTACATCAACAATAGCAAGGCATTGAGGGAAGCCATGTGTTTCTTGATGGACCCCATTTCAGGAAAGAAAATCTGCTATGTGCAGTTTCCACAAAGGTTTGATGGGATTGATCGTCATGACAGATACTCAAACAGAAATGTTGTGTTCTTTGATGTATGTATAGCCTTATTTCATTAACTAGAGTTCAATCCATAATCCATCTGTGAAGAAACTGATTCTTAAGGTTGTTTCCAGATTAACATGAAAGGTTTGGATGGTATACAAGGACCAATATATGTTGGTACAGGGTGTGTTTTCAGAAGGCATGCACTTTATGGATATGATGCTCCTGTCAAGAAGAAGAGACCTAGCAAGACCTGCAACTGCTTGCCGAAATTGTGCTCTTGCTGTTGCTGTTTCAGATCGAAAACGAACAAGAAAGGGAAAACAAAGAAATTGAAGAAGCCAAAGCACTGGGAGGCATCAAGTCAAATACATGCTCTTGAAACCATTGAAGAAGGAGTTAAAGGTTAGATCTTTATGTTATAAAGAATAATTGTTCTAGTTGCTTGTTACAGAAAATGTACAATGAAGTTACTTATACACTGATCAATAGAGGTGAAAAGTCTTAACTTATGCTGCATTACAGAAGCTAATGTGGATTCACGCCCGACTTCCCAAGTGAAACTAGAGAAAAGATTTGGGCAGTCTTCTGTTTTTGTTGCCTCAACACTTCTGGAAAATGGTGGTGTTCCAAAGGAAGCCAGTGCCTCGTCACTTTTGCAGGAAGCCGTTCATGTTATTTGCTGTGGTTATGAAGATAAAACAGAATGGGGGAAGGAGGTAAGACCCATTGATTACTTTTTGTTATGGAAGAATGTAGTAAATTTGGTTTCTGAGTCGTGAAATTTTTAATCTTCAACCAGGTTGGCTGGATTTATGGCTCTGTCACAGAAGATATCTTGACTGGATTCAAGATGCATTGCCATGGATGGAGGTCCGTGTATTGTATGCCTCAGCTACCTGCTTTCAAGGGTTCAGCCCCTATAAATCTTTCAGACCGTCTCCATCAGGTTCTTAGATGGGCGCTGGGATCAGTTGAAATTTTGTTGAGCAAGCATTGCCCCATCTGGTATGGCTATGGTGGTGGATTGAAGAGGCTTGAGAGGCTCTCTTACATAAACTCTGTTGTGTATCCTTTGACGTCCATTCCCTTGATTGTCTACTGTTCCTTGCCGGCTCTCTGCCTTATCACTGGAAAATTCATTGTTCCTGAGGTAACTCAATTTCTGATTTCGCTATTGACCTGGTTATATCTAAAAAGGATGTTGCTGAAAAATCAACAATTTATTTCTATCAAGTGTTCCGCAGATGAAGTGTATACTTTAGAGTCATGTCAGTCTTCATATAAGCTTGGGTCTTTAACTTAAACCATTTATATATCTGTTCCAGCGGAATAACTGGATCTATATTGAGAAACTTCATTCTCTAAAATCCTCAGCAAGAAAGAAAGATGAGACTCATTGTTTATGACTTTCATTAGCTTAACAATATATAGAAAAGCTTGCAAATATTGATACTTCTAACTTCTGAGAATTGTTACTTTTTTCCCATTTAGTCTGATCCTTCACTTCCAATTTTCTAAAAGTTAAATTGAGTCTGTCCGCTAATTGTGTTTGTTTAAACATTTACAGATCAGTAATTATGCCAGCATTATATTTATCGCACTCTTCATCTCTATTGCTGCCACCGGTATCCTTGAAATGCAGTGGGGTGGTGTTGGTATAGAGGATTGGTGGAGAAATGAGCAGTTTTGGGTTATTGGAGGTGCTTCTGCGCACTTTTTTGCTCTCTTTCAAGGATTGTTCAAGGTTTTAGCTGGTGTGGAAACAAGATTTACCGTCACCACCAAAGCAGGTGACGATGGAGAATTTTCGGAGCTCTATATGTTCAAGTGGACATCATTATTGATCCCACCAACGACTTTGCTAATAGTGAACATAGTTGGAGTTGTGGTTGGTATCTCGGATGCAATAAACAACGGTTATGACTCTTGGGGACCCTTATTTGGTAGGCTCTTCTTTGCCTTGTGGGTTATTATTCATCTCTACCCATTCCTCAAAGGATTGATGGGAAGACAAGAACGAACCCCTACCATAGTCATCGTATGGTCTATTCTTCTTGCTTCAGTCTTGACATTATTGTGGGTACGAGTCAATCCGTTTGTCTCAAAAGATGGTCCTCTCCTAGAAGTCTGCGGATTGGATTGTGACGATTGAGTCTAAACACTCCAAAGACTTGATTGAATCAAGAATATTTCCAGCAAGACATTATTGGGATTTCCTTTCGCGGACGAGACATCGATGTGTAGTACTGTGAGAGGGTTTTTGCAGGAAGAGATAATACTATATAGAAGAAGGCTGTTGGTAGAATAAAAAGGGGTAGGTAGGTAGAGGAGTATAGGTGAAGAGAGTCATCAATGTAGATATGAAACACAGAGAGCTGACATATATTCATGATATTTGTTCTTTTGGGAGTTCAATCTATTTGTCAGTGAATACTTACTAAATCATTAAAGTTATTAACCCTCTGTGAAAGGGCCATCAAATTTGTACACTCTTGAGTTCAAAAGTTGTGATGTCCTGGTTTATCTGGACTTTAGAATCAACCAATTTTTGTCTTTGGTTATCCAAATTTTGCAGTTATTATGTATTTTACAACTCAGATATTGTTTAGGTGATGTTCTTATGTGCTATTTTTTTTCAGGCAATGAGTTGTTTGTGTTCTTTTACGCTAGTCTTTCAGAACTAGTCTCTTTACCTTCTTGGATAGTGATAAGATTTGCGTGTATATTTTACCTTTTTTGAACCTCGTGGAATTTTACTGGTATGTTTCTTTATCTTCGTAAGATAATACTGATGTCTTCACGTACATTCCACCTTTTCTACTCTTGACTTGCGAAATTTCAGTAGATATAATGTTATAAATGTAATACATTATTTTTTTTAGAAAGATTGATTAATTAATAGAAGCTTACAAATAAAAAAAGAAGAAAGGCCGAACACATAAACAACCCTTTTAAACTCATCTCTAAAAGTTTGTTTATTTTATTTTAATCCTCTAAATATATTTTTGTATGTACCACTTAAACATAATTAATAATTTCCTTTTACCCAATATAAATTTTATAAAACATCAACAATAAAACTTCAATAGTAGCAATAAATACATTTTTTAAATAGGGACGGACTGGTTGTGTATGTAGGTATCGTGTTCATCTTTTGTCTGCTCAGTGCTTTTGCTTCTTCGTTTAATCTTTGCTTCTTGCTCGAATTCTGCATCTTCCGGTATGTTTTCGTATTTGAGCTTATTGAATTTGAGGTTTTTCGCTTCTTTGGAAGCCCTTATTTTTATAGGGCCTTTAGGGTTTAGCCGCCATTGCTGCCACCTCCCATAGCTCCGTTCATCAAAGTTCGGACGAATGGAAGAATCACCTTGATTGCATATAACTGGGCATAATATGGTTAAAACCAAAAAGACGTTTTTTTTCTTTCAAATTTTGATTTCCAGACCAACTCTCATCTGGAAATCTGGTAAATTAATAATGGAATCCAATAAACTTGTGGAAAACAACACGAGTAGGCAGTAGCAAAGTAAAATAAGTAAGCATTGTTAGATATTATTGAAGTTAAACAACAAAAGAAATTGTTAGATACACATTAAGAGCAAAATCTGATGAAAACCCATGGCAAGAATATGTATTGCGTCCTCTATTGTTTTTTAAATCATGGAATGCAAGTATGCAACTATGTGATTATTTGTGTGATTTGTGAACTGTAATGTACTGCGTTAAGTTGTTTATAGGCAACTCTGTTGATATTTGTGTTAAATAAGTATTCATGAAGGAGTGTTGAGTCATGAGTGTCTAATGTCTATCATCTTTTAGAGTTTTAGTTACTGTTAATGTGCATCTGTAACCATGGTTGTCGCTATTTTACGATGCATTTGTATGTAGAGGACATCAAAGCATTTGATCCTGATGAGGCTTATGCTAAATTTGTGACTACTATTCATCCTTGATAAGTATAAATAAATTAACTTTCTTTAATTTTTGCTACTGTTAATTAAATTTGGTTAAACCGAAAACCAAACCGAACTGAATTTATTTCAATTTGGTTTGGTTTCACATTTTTTCCAAGTTGAACCGACCAAATGCCCAGCCCTAATTGCATATGTTGATGTAGTTTGAAATATAAATTATTATTGTATTGGAATCAACTCAAGCTTAGATTATTGTGTTATATGTTTTTCAGTGTAGCTGTATTTTCTATGCTATACATACTTGATTTTTTATGTGCTTACTTGAGCTGAGGGATTTATAACAAAGAACCTCGCTATCTTTACAAGGTACAGGTAAGGTTGTATACACATCACCCTCTGAAGGATCTGACTTGTGGGATTTTACTGGGCTAGTTGTTGTAAATCTTTGTAGTAATCAACTCTTTTATAGTGGATACTAGGATGTGTTTGACACGTCTAATTGTTTTTTCCAGCTTGAGCACTTTTATCTAAAAGTAAAACTGCTTATTTATAAATGCAGCTCCAAACTTAAAAATAGTTTTTCAACATTTGCTGCTTAAAAGCTACTTAAATTCAGCTAATCCAAACGGGCTCTAGTTTTGCATTCTTTATTTGTATCTAAGCGATAAATTTGTGTCTTGATTGTTTTACTTGTAGATTCTGAAGGGAACAACGGAAAAATAAGAACACCCTAAATTTGACCAAATATGGACATGAAGGAACAGAGGATGGATTTTAAGTCGATAATGAAGGAGGCTGAATTTCTGGGTAAGTAGTAGTTTTTTTTTTGTCTTCTCTTGATTAAGGGTACTATTTTTGTACTCCAACTTGATTGAAATCTTAATTCATGTGAGTTTTGGTTCAGTAGAGCATGTTTCATGTTATTTGGGTTTTGAATAAAGAAAAAAAAAAAGAACCCTCTGTCTAAGGAGTAGGGATGTGCAAAATTATGTCATTAATTTTGCGTCAATGATATGTTATGTAAGCCATATTGTTCATGAACCAATTAGGATTTTGTTCTTATGACAGTGCAATAATCTAGCATTAATGATTTAATCATCATTCAAAGCAGTTAACCAATATCTTTTTTTTTTCCCTGAATTCGTGATTCATATTTAATTATATTCAAGAATTTGGGACCTTGGTGATAACGGTGGCTTGTACTCTCGCTGCATCTCTAGAACAAAAAGCAGAATAAACATCTCCAGAAAAAAGTTACCTGTTTGACTGTGAATTGATTTTTGTTTTCAGTTAACTTACTGATAGAGACATTCCAAATTTTGCGCATTAGCTTATTTCACTAATTTCTAACTTCGAGGACAGGCATAGTCGGAAACATATAAGAGGATATCCTTGTCTTTTGATTAGTGAAGTGACATCCTATTGATACTATGAGGTAAAAATCTGGCTAACAAAATTTCTGTGATTGTTCAACTAAAACATTTGATTGGTTCACTATACGCTCTTGTTCATATTGGAACTTTAGATTCAGCTAAGTTTTATGCATGTATGACAATGTCCTGCATGAATTGTTATGCTAATGTGGTTCAGTTTACAAGTCTTTGTGATACACTGGGCATGAGATTGTGGAGGAACTGAATGGTAGGAAGTGTTTGCGGAAGTCAAGATTTTCTGAAATGTGCTTGAAATCTGAAACTAGTGAATGCTAGCAAACTTGAGGAGGATTTTAGTGCAGAGGAGCACTTCAATCCGGGATTTGAGCTGAGGACAAGACTGTTTCATAGCTTTCCCTTTTCTCCATAACAACAATATCCTTAAATGTTGAAATGAAATGATTTTAATTAGTACAAACATCTCAAAATCCATCTCTAGGACTGAAGCAGTGGTCGGTGATTAAATGCTTTTACTTGCTGTTACCATTTAAAAAAAAAGAAAGAAGAGAAATGCCTTTACTTAATCTAGTAAGCCATATGAAGGGAACTTTGCATTCCTTTACCCTAGATAATGGTAGCTACTTTATCATGGATGAAGTGTCGTCCACTTTTTCTGGTAGAGGTAGTGCTGAAGACCATTTTCTTCATCCCAAATAATGTTCATTTGGAAGTGGAAAATTGAATGCATGACAAAAGCAAAGGAAAACACTGGTGCTAACCAGTTAGGGAGTCAAAAACTATATATGGGCCATCAGTCAATATTGATCAATCATTACAAGAAATAGGACAAAATAGATACTCAATCCTGATTTATGTGAGTCAGTTCTCCTTGCCTAAGTGTAGCCAACAATGAACTCTTTGGTTGATGATCCCATGAACTGTCTACCTGAAACTGTAAAGTGAAAGTTGGCACGTTAAGTAGGCTGACCAGCTATTTTGTTTGCCTGTTGGTGACTGGTAAGGCTTCACCCGTGCACTTGATGTTGGGTGGTGGTAGGTCATTATGATGTAGGCTCATGTTTATAGAGGTGAGGTAGAAGCAGGCGGTGGCTGCTCCTATCATAAGTGGCCAATAGATGACAAGATAGTGGTTCTCAGTTCTTTATCAAAGAAAGATAATGGTTCTCAGCTATCTACTGATTTTTATACCATCTTTCTTGATTTCATATTGGGGTTCTTTATCAGAGAAGATCCTCTTTCTCCATATTAGTTTATCATTGTTATGGAAATACTAAGCTTGATATACAAAAGAGCTGAAAGTTTGGGATGGATTAAAGAATTTAAAATTGAATTAGCTTGCTTTGGCTGGGATGCATTAGTTATGCGGGTTTCTAAGTCGCGAACTAAACATCGTATTAATTATATACATGAATAATTTACTTCCCAAGTATTTATTACTTGTACAGAAATCAGTACATGGATAAGTTACCTCTTTACTAGCGCTACCAAACAACCCCCTTACGGTATATATTTCTTAACATGTGCTGCATAATAAACATCTCATACACAACAACTAATAGTATAAAATTTGTCCTTCAAAGACAAAGCCCCTGAAATTATACGCATTTTTCGTTGCTACGTATCAGGGAAGAATGATATCCAGTCTTGCATGAAAAAGTTAGCATGTGCAACTCATTTGGAAAAGGTTCCAGTGCACGCAGTATTGAAGTTGCTTTCATTTTTGTGTCAGTCTTCCTTGGTTTATATCATCCGGAAGGCATTCAAGTGCATAATTATCAAAATTGCTTTCCGCTGCCAACACATTTTCTTTTTCTTGCGACTTTGGCATCTTCCCTATCCAGGTGTCTGTCTTAGCCACATTATCTTAATTAACTTCAACAGGTTCATCACATTTAGATTTCCGGTTGAACTGGGTTTACTTGACAAGTCTCATATAGCAGTCTTCCTATTGAAGAGCTTTCTTAGCATGACTGAGATCGAAACTTGGCTGTTTGATTCCCCCCAATCATTCTCTCTGATTATTCTACTAGTCCTATCTGGATTTTAACAGTATGCTGATGGGAGGAGCTTGTGTAAAATATGGCACTGACTAGGTTCTCTGTCCTATTTTTAGGCTCCGCGCATATGACATGGAAGGAAAAAAAGGAGTTGGAGAACAAGAGAGTAGTTGCGCTTGGTGGGAAGGTGAGGCACAACCTTTAATTTATAAATAATAACGTTGGCTGTTGTAGTATGTTCTGCAATTTTTTGACAAATACTTAATATTTTTTTGCATCTGTTGATAATGTTTCTGTTAATTGTGGCAGCCTCAGAAGAAACAGAGATTACCACTTAGTGTAGCACGAGTAATGATGAAGAAACAGAAGGAAAGGGAGGAGAAAATGCAAGAAGAGGTTGAAATCTCAGCTTTCTTTGGAGTTGCTTACTGAAAATTCCACTTAACACAAGTTGCTAACTTATTTGGTTTGCAGAATTTGGTACTTGGACGATTCGGGGGAGCTAGTAGTTCAAGAAAAGCAGCAGGAAGGCGCAGACCAGAGGATAGGGTGCTGAAATCAACTGAAGGTAACTTCAGAAACGGTGTGCTTGATGTTAAACAGTTACTAAAACCTTCTGCGCCTAAAGCATCATTTGATGATGGGAAGAAGCCTTTTTCTTCGGGTAAAGGGAAGAAGAAGAAAAAGGGCGGTAAAAAGAACAAGGGTAAGAAGAACAAAGGTGGTGGTCCTGGTAAGAAGCGCCATTAAACATGGGCATATATTGAAACGGGTGATTTGCAATAGAACTAATTACTTCATAAAAAAAGAAACAGTGATTAGCCCAGCGTGTGGGATGCCAACTTGCTTTATAGAACAAGTAGTTCCCTATTTTGGTGTTGGTATCTTAAAGAAAAGAAAGATGAAACGAAGGAGGCCAGCTTTCGTAAAATTCTAGTGGGTTGTGACGAGTATAGTTTCTAATGTTGGAAAGATGTACTATTTTTTTTGTTGAGAGAGAAAATGAAACAGAATCTGCCATTGATTTCAACTTAAATACTTTATCTAAATATAATTTTTAAATTACTTTATTACAACTTAATCTCAAATATCAGTATTTTTTTTTCAAATATCAAAATTTTAACGTCCAACCTATTTAGTTTATATATATATTTGCTCTAAGAAACTTGGTAATCCCACAATTCTAGAAGGAGCTTTGGCTAATACTTCTATACCTTAAATCACATTTTGAACATCTAGAATTCGAGTCTTGTCATTATAATAAAAGATAGAGTAAAGAAAATAGTGATAAAATTATTTTCTTTTTTTTAAATATAATTTTCTCGAAAAATGATTAGACATAATAAAATAAATATATATTGTACTCCCTCTTTATTCCAGTTTTTGAAGGTTAATAATTTAATTTTTGATGATAAATATGAGCATACAAAAAAAATCGTGATAAAAAGTTTCTTTGAAATCTAGTTAAATGGAATAGTGCTACTAATTATTAGTTAAAAGAATTATCCTGTTCCCCAATGGCGAGGGTTGTTCGGAATCTTCTCTTCCGCTCATCCGCCGTTCCGCCACCGTTCAAATTCCACGATCTCCGCCTCCCGGGCAGCTTTAGTTTCTCCACTGCTGCTTCAATTCGCAGTAAAGCTCGCAAAAACAAAGGCAAAAACTTGGAGAAGAGCAGCAATATTAGTGTAATTAACCAAAGCAAGCTTTCACAAGTGAAGCGACGGACTCGGTCGGAGAAAGAGCTGGATGAGGAGACGTTCCTGAAGAACTATGGAAATGATACATCTGCACATGTCCCTGTCTTGCTCGGTGAAGTTTTGGATGTTTTCACCTCCGTTACTCTTCGCTCCTTCCTTGATTGTACTCTCGGTGCCGCCGGCCATTCCTCTGCGGTTAGTGTATCCCTTTCTTTTACAGTTGTACCTCCTTCCTTCTACAATTATTGTCCTTTTTGAAGTATCTGGGTGATTAGACGAGACATAGAAGTTGTTTCAACTTACTGAGTTCATGGCCTTAGATGGTAAAAATTGAAGAGGGCATGGATTAGAGTGGTATGTTAGCAGGTAGTAGAACATTGTCTAGCTAATCCATCCACACTATTGGTTGAAATATTTACTCTTGTAGTTTATTGTACTTTTTTGTGTTAGTATCAATTGATTGTTGTACATGGAGTAAGACCTACCAAGTTCATGGCCGTAGATGGTAAATTGAGGAGGATATGGATTAGGATAGTATGTTGGCGGGTAGTAGAACATTGTCTAGCTAATCCTTCAATATCATTGGTCGAAATATTTACTCTTGTACTCTCTTTTACTTTAGTTTTTTGTTAGTATCCTTTGTTTTTTGTATTTCAATTATCATACTATTTTGTTGTAGTAACTGATTGTTATGGTTTTACATCTGTTATGAATTTGTTGTCTAATGTATACTTAGTTGCATTAAGTTACTTGCGTAATTTATTGAGGTAGTGGTATGGGATCATTTGTCTTCCATGTTGAAAATTTTAAAAGTTATTTGCTTGTAGCCTTGTATATACAGATAATTCGAGCTCATCCCGAAATGCAAGTATATGTTGGGCTTGATGTTGATCCCATCGCGCATCAGAAGGCTCAATCTCAGCTGAAGAGTGTTATAGATAGGGACTCTTTTGATACAGCGTCTGCCTTGAAAGTGTATACCTTTTTGAAAAATTTCAAGGACGTCAAGTCTGTGCTTGGTGAAGTTGCAGATGACTTATTGACTGGTGGAGTTAATGGGATCTTGATGGACTTGGGTATGTCATCTATGCAGGTCTGTACTCAAATCGCATAGTGGAAACTACTGTAAAACTTCAAGTTGTTTGCTCGATAATCTGGTTTCCGTGGCCTTACCTTTCTTTCTTTCCCGTGTGTGTGACTATTGTGTGAGTTGGTTGTATATGAGAAGAAAAGCTAATCAGAGTGTTACACTGATTTCTTTAAAACCGTAATAGACTATTCCCCCCTGGCTAAAATTAATGCATTTGATAACTGACTTCTACTCTCACGGTGGGGTCAGAGAAATGTATTTCTTCCTGTTAACCATATTGGAGAAATGTGTAGAGACTATCAGGATACATATTTCTGAGAATAATATCAATATCTTGAATTTTCCCCATATTTTATTCAGGTAAATGATGCTGGAAGAGGTTTTAGCATGCTGAAGAATGGACCTCTTGACATGAGAATGAATCCAAAGGTAATTTCTTTCCAGATCGTGTGTAAATTTCGACAGTCAATTCTGATTTGTCTAGCTCTCAAATGCTACTAGTATCTTAGGCTGCATTTCACATTGGCTCATGTAAGAGTTCCAGTATCCACCCTTTGGAAAATTATGTTGGTTTTGTGATTTTATTCCTTTGCTTTAATGCTAAGGCATGTACAGCACCACACTTTATAAGAAGAAAAAATCTGCACATCTGTTGATTTCACATTGACATGACGAGACAAGGAAATTTATTCCCTTTCATTATTTGAGTCGTGCAACTTCACACGACTTGGTTGTCTTCTTCTCTGAGAGCTCTAACATTTGAATTGCATGGCGTTTTGGACGACATATGTGTCTATCTCCAAATTATGTTGGTTTGCAACACGGTAGTTCCATTCTCTCCTCATGAAATGGGTGTATTCGTCGATATAGGTATCTTCCGGATTGAGTGAGTACTCAAATTCGCGTTCTAATAACCATATTCTTCCCATTGATTAAAAAATGTCACCTCGCTGATATGTAATCGGACCTCTTTTCCAGAAAAATGGATTCCAAGATGACATTGTAAGACTTGTTTTCTAAATGTAGGGATATGTTTGAACACAACTAGTCACTACACACACTAACTATTTACAAGGAAGCTTTACAGCAATTATCAGTTATCACGGTCACATCCTATTAAGTTTTCGTTGTTGATGTCACTATTTGTCTAATGTCAAGAGTCAAGACATCTGATTGAGTAAACGCTTCTCATTCTATATTTTCTTATATATCTTTCATAGATGTGGAGAAAATGTTCATAGAGGTTTCCTTGATTAACTGACAGAGGACTGTGACAGGCAACTCTAAAAGCTGAAGACATATTGAATTCTTGGCCAGCTGATGAAGTAGGGCGAGTTCTGCGAGAATATGGAGAAGAAAACAATTGGTACTCTCTTCAAAACAGAATTGTTAAGGCTCGTCTACATGGAGGGTTACATTCTACCAATGAGCTGGTAGACCTTATTCAGAATTCAACTTCTAGGACGAAAGGTGATTTCAGTTCTAGGTGGCTTTGTCGCTATTCATATTTTAAATTGTCTAAAATTTTATAAATTTCTTAACCATTACTAGCGGGAATTGGTGTAGTAGGTACTGTTTCATTCTTAATGATCTTCTGCACAGTTTTGTATGTGGAAACAAGAAATGTGATCATACTTTGGATACTTGCTTAAGCAGGAAGGCAGGGTTGGATTAAGACGGCTACAAGAGTTTTTCAGGCATTGCGGATAGCTGTTAATGATGAACTCATAACTTTGGAGGATTCCATCCGTGCTTGCTTTGAGTCTCTCACTTCTGGTGGAAGGCTTGCCATAATTTCATTCCACAGTTTGGAGGACAGAATAGTAAAGCAGGCATTTCTCAATATTATGAACTGCAGTGAAGTTGATGGAGGTGAGGTTGAAGATGAAGAAGGGAAGCGCTTACGTGAGCTGAGGAAAATTAATCTGGATACTGTTAAAGAAGAAGTATGGATTAAACAGGTGATACAAGGGCAAAATGGAACTATCCTTACAAAAAGACCCATAACACCATCCGAAAAGGAGGAAACACTGAATCCTCGAAGTCGGAGTGCTAAACTTAGAGTGATTCAGAAAGCCTGAAGAAAGGTGGATTCATAGATGTATTGGACCTTGAGGAGATATTTCAATCTCAAAGATGAGGAGCTTTACCAATTGTTCAACATTTAAAGTAAGTAATCACAACTTTTTCTTGATCGTCCTTCAGCTTTATTCGTCGTGAAAAGTTTCCTCACAAGCAATTAAGCCTTATGAAGCTCTAGCTCCTCTGAACTTGTCATACATTGTTCGATCAAGGAAATGGTGGCCCTGTATTTACAACTAAAAAGATTGTAGTCCTTATCGTCAACCAAGGTCTAAGACTATGGAATTAAAGCTTAAAGGTTCAAGCCTGCACCTTGATATGCTGCATTCCAGAAACACCAATCCGTAGGTTACTGGTGATTATCGAAATTTATGATCGAGGAAAGTTTCTACCCGATGCAAGGAAGGAACTTCACTGTCATTCCAAGCTCTTAGATATGTTTGATTTTGAGTAGTTCAGATTATCTCGAAGGTTTGAACATTTGAAATCAGCGTTCTGGATATGTGATTTCATAGCATGAGGTTTTGATCTATGCTTTACTTGCATACACTTGAAACAGGTACCTCATTGAGAGCTTTGTATTTTTACGAATTTTCACTATTGGCATATGGTTTCATTTTTGGACTACATTTCTCTAACCTGTGTTTCTTCCAATTGTTGTGTTTAATGTGCTTTATGTGCTTTACATTAAATATGAATGGTCATTTCATTATTTAAGCTCATATTACACTATCAAACAAACAAATATAATGTGAAAATATTTTTAAAATATCTAAAAATACTAAAGCTGGTGATAAAAGTTCCACACGAATTTAAAGTATATCCTCATCTAGTATATATCACTTATATATGCATCTTTTTTTCCCTACGATATCATTAGCTAAATATGCATTAATTCCAAGCAATTGCGGGCCTTCTGAGGTTACTTCGATTCATTTAATGTTAAGTCTATCATGTTTTTGTTTGAAAAAACACTCATTCATGCCATTATTTTCATTCATGTCATTATTTGTTAATTGAAAACAATTTTGGTTTTGAAAATATTTTTTAATGTGGTTAATTATGGATAGGTCACGTCATTAATTACCTCCATTTCACAAAGAATGGTCTAGTTTGATTTGGCAGGAAGTTTAAGAAAATAAAGAATGACCTCGTTTAACCTTCTAAATGATTGTTTTGATCGTCAGGATTAA